AGATTCCATGAATTGAAAATAAATAAAGTAAGTTGGGAGAGTCAAACAGTACAGCTCTCTGAAATGATAAGATTCAGTGCAAGACAAAAACGTAAGCAACAGGAGCAGAATTAGGTCATTCGACCCCTTAAGCTTGCCCCGCCACTCAACAACATCATGGCCAATCTGTTCCCAGCTTCAACTCCTCTTTTGTGCCAACTTATCATAGCCCTCAATTCCCTGCTATTTCAAAAATCAAGCTACCTCTCCTTTAAATACTCCCATTGTTCTAGCCTTCACAACCCTTTGGGAAAGTGATTTCCAGACTGTCATATCCTCTGGGAGAAGATATTTCTTCACATCTCAGTTTCAGATGAATGTCCTCCTATTTTGTAACGATATCTCCTAGTTTGAGATTTCCCCAATTGTGGAAACATCTTTTCATATCTACCCTGTTGATCCCATTCAGAATCTTGCATGTTTGAACAAAATCACTCATTCTACTAAACTCTAATAATATGACCTCATCTGTTGACTGTTCCTGATAAATCAATCCCCTCACTCCACGAATCAGCCTCATGCGTCTCTTTTGAATTACCACCAATGCTAGTACATCCTTTCTTAGAGAATCCAAAACTGTATATAGTACTTCAGGTGCAGCTTAATCAATACCTCATATGGTTGTAACAAGATTTCCCTATTTTTAAACTCCACCCCCCTAGCTATGAAGGCAAACATTTCATTTGCATTTTTAATTACTTGCTGCATCGGCATGATCATTTTTTTTTTTGTTTCATGCCCAAGATCACTCATATCCCTCTGTGCTGCATTTGTTTTGGGAGTCTCTTGCCACTAAATTATAGTTTGCTTTTTGATTCTACTAGATTGTATGACATCACACTTTTCTATGTTAAATTTTATCTGCCAAGATTTTGCCCAATCACTCAACCTATCCATAACACCCTTGCAGATTCCTTGTATCTTCATTGCACATTCCGTCCTCCTAATGGGTTTCATCAGAAAATTATATTCTTCTCTTTCGTCCAAGTCCTTAATAAAGATAACAAATAATAGGACTGATCCTTGTGACACATCACTACTTATGTCTTTCCAACCCGAAAAAGATCCATTAACCTGGCTTTCTGCCTTTTATGTGTTAACCAAACCTCAATCCATGGTAAAACCAGGAAATGGCAGAATTTTACATTTCACACAAGAAGACATATAAAGCATCCCAAGAATAGTTGACAAATACAAGGCAAAATGAGAGAAGAACTTAAAACAATCATGCTATTTGAAGAAAATGTAGCACAAAAACTAAGGCGCTAAAGAGAGACAAGTACCCCATTTCTCTTGGCCACCCACATAAGTGTCTGCAATCTTCCAAAATTCCCTAGAGACTGGAAAGATCCCAGTGATTGAAAATCCACAAATGCACCATCACTGTTCAAGAAAGCAAGGAGACAGAAATTGGGAACTATAAGCCAGTTAGTTTAACATCTGTCAATGGAAAAATGGTATAATCCATTATTAAGATGTGAATAGCAGGACATTTCGAAGATCATAATACAGTTAGATAGAATCAACATAGTTTTGTGAAAGTGAAATCAGGTTTGACAAATTTATTAGAGTTATTTGAGGATATAACAAGCAGGATGGATAAAACAGAACCAGTAGATATTGTGTATTTAGATTTTCAAAAGGCATTTGTCGAGATACCAGCTTACTGTACATGATGAGAGCTCATTTTGTAGGGGATAATACATTAGCATGGATAGAGGATTAGCTAACTAATGGAATACAGAATACAATGTGAGAACAAATGAATCATCTCCATGTTGGCAAACTGCAACCAATGGGTGCTTGAGGGATCAGTTCTGAGGCATCAAATATTTACCATCAACATCAATGACTCTTACTGCAGTCAGATTTGCTGATGATACAAAAATAAGTAGGAAAACAAGTTGAACGGAAGATACAAAGAAATTGCAAAGGATATAGATTGGTTAAATAAATAGGCACAAATTTGGTAGGGAGAATAGAATGGAGGTAAAAACGAGGTTGTTCACTTTAGAAGAAAGAATAGAAAAACACTTTAATTATATTATTAAGGATACACAGGTGAAGGGCATTGATTGCAGATAAAGAAAGTCTTCCCAGTTGGATATGACTTCCCATGGCTGCGACTGCTGCATACCCTTCACGTTTTGCCTTTGTGAACCATCTGGGCATGCCATGGTATTCCATGTGCCACCTGGAAGAATCGGGAGCCCCAATGGGAGACTCATTTATTAACGGGCATTTTGTATAGATGGTGTTGCGTTCAGCGTTCCTGTGAAACAAAAATTAAGATGGTTCATGGACTTTCAGGCTACTTGTATTTTTTGAAGCTTGAGGAATCTGTATTCCATGTGTATACAGAAGCTGCAACATCACACAACCTATTTCACTTTTTCAGTGAGATGTACTTCAAGTTTTGTCTGCATATCAGCTCCATCCATGCTCCTGATCTTTGGCTATCTGATAAGGAGGGGCACAGACAAGGTGGAGGATGTCCTTGCTAACTTGTTCCTGGGCCTGGTCAAGATAGCTTCCACTGGTCCAAGCAGTGGGCAGTTGAGATGATTGTTCAATGCAGTGACTAGAATGCATTATCAGCCTTGGCAAAGTTATTTTAAATCAATATATTTTCACTGTGATTTTTATGTCTCTTCAGGTGTGGTTCTCAAATTCTTTACATAGATGCTTTGTTTTACTTAAAATAGTATAAGGAAAGACTTACAGGACACTAGATAATGGTTTGGGAGAATTTGTCATATTGCAGACTGCAAATAAATCTAGTATGAAATAAGCAAAAACAGAAATTGCTGGAAAAGCTCTGCAGGTCTGGCAGTGTCTGTGGAAAGAAATCAGAGTTAATGTTTTGGGTCAAGTGACTCCTTCCTCAGAAGTATGACATAAGACTGGCACTTGGCATCCTACATTGCCAACAAAGCAGAATACTATTTAAATTGAGAGAAAGCAGAATATTGCAATACAGAGTGATCTGGGTGACCTTATTCATGAATAGGCAGGCAAATAGAATGTTGATGAGTATGAAAGTAGAGAAGTCCTGCTATGACCATAGAGGGCATTGGAGAAATCACATCTGGAATACAGTGTGCAGTTTTGGTCTCCTTATATTTAAGCAGGGATATACGTGTATTGGAAGCAATTCAGAGGAGATTCACTAGGCTGATTGTTGGGATGAAGGAGTTGAGGAAAGACTGAGCAGGTTGAGCCTATACTCATTGGAATTTAGAAAAATGAGAGGTGACCTCATTCAAACATGTAAGAACCTGAGGGAGCTTAACAGGGTAAATGGTGACACTATGTTTCCTCTTGTGGGGACATCTAGAACAAGGGAGCAGAGTCTCAAGATAAAGGGAGATGAGGAAAACTTTTTCTCTTAAATGATTTCTAGTCTTTAGAATTCTGTTTACACACAGCAGTGGAGCCTCGGTCACTGAATATATTCAAGGCTGAGTTGAACAGAGTTTTAATTGACAAGGGAGTCAAAGGTTATGGGGAACAGGCAGACAAGTGGAGTTAAGCTAGAAAGCAGATCAGCTACGATCTTACTGAATGGTGAAACAGGCTTGATGGGCTAAATGGCCGATTGGTGCTCCTCTTTCTTATGATTTAATTGATGTATCATTGTATCAATTGACACAATGCAAAGAGAATATGGAACAACAAGCGTGAAAAGGTTCGTTGTCAAACTGATGCTAGTTCTCTAAATAAGAGGCACTGTGTATGAAAATTGAGCCAAGTTTTCAGAGTACACTGCCTGAATATCTGGGCAATTCCTCCAGGAATGTTTGCAGTATCACCGATTACCTGCAGTCTGGTACCAGCAAAACCACATTCATATCTGAAGCAAAGGTAAAGTCGCCATAGTCCAAGAGGACCATAGGGCTGCTCTCTTATTGGAGAGAGATGACTAATGATGGTTTAACCCAAGAGTCACCATGCCTCAGGTAATAGGAGAAGTTGAGAAGGAGAATCCTTCTCGGTTGCCTCAGCCAATGCGTGAACCCACACTATTGGCTTCACTCTACATCATACGGCAGCCGTCCTGCCAACTGAGCTAACTGATTCTCATACCTGACAGAATTATGGAACTGAAGGCAAGAGGACAACATTATATAAATACTGTTCAAGTAGATCTGTAACAGTTCACCTTCGATGTCGATAACATCTAATCCTGACAGCATTAACAGTTTGAGTTCTCTTTTAAAAATAATTCTGTAATGGTCAAGCCTGTAGAGACAAGGTTTAACTGTTAGCCGGGGCCTTTGAAAGGCATAAATGAATATTAAAGCTATTTCAATTCTCTATTAGTTTCAAAATGGAGAAACTAAAAGTCATGATAGTTTTGAAACATGAAAATAGTTTCAACACATAATTATCATTTTCAGCTAATTCTGTTCTCATATTTAGTCCTATTAACATTTTGAGCATGTAGGTCAATAATATATTGCTTTACTTTATCCTCACCTTCATTAGAGTTTACCACTAAGTTTGGATTCATGAAAAGTTATATTCTGAAACCCGGGAGAAAACTGGTCACATATACAGAAAGCATGAATTGTTCTTTGTTGTGGCATGACCTACTTGCATGATCTACATGATCTCCAGTCTAACACTAGAACTGTCCTAAATCAAAAACACAACGAGACAGAAAGACTTTGTGAACTATCACATGGACCCTTGGTCAGTTACCAGTTGTTCTTTCAAATTTAGAGATTTCTATGAACTGATGAAGTTTGCTGACAACAGATAATTGGGCAGCATGGATCCAATGAATGCCCAAGAATTGAGAAAGAATGACTAAACTAGAACAGGATAATATGCAGCGAACGATATTCAGAATAACTAATCTAGAAACATGATTCAAATCTTAGTGAAAAACTAAATTGCAAAATTATTTTTCTTGTTGTTGAGAACACATTTAACAAATCAAGGCCAAACGGCTCTGCTGGTTTTGCTCTGAAATACTGAGTCCATGGGAAGTTTACTGCTCTGGTACTTCCATTTCAGATCTCACATCATCTACTAAGGCAGAGAGAGAGGTTGTACCTTTTATAACAGTTACATGAAATATCTTTTCCAGGGTTGTTACAATTAAAGATTCAATCATATTTGAATGGGCATATTGAAGTTGCCAACTTAAATTTTAGGTACAGATCTATTGAAAATCCTTAACCATATAAAAAATTCAAACAAATTGCCATATGTTAAATCTATAGATTTGTGTCGACCACTCTTTGTTGAGAAATTTCCAAATGCCTCAAAACTCTAGCGTCAATGAGTAGCAATGGAAGATATTACATGTATTATTTGCCTGAGCACTGAGTAACACTAATGGATTCAGCCATCTTTTCAATTCTTGTCTTACTTCTAGTTTGATCAAATGAGTAATCTTTGTATCTGATTAAATTGGCTGCAGGTGAAATCTGGAAATATTTTCCTCCATTATATTTAAGAATGGGATTAAGTAGAATTGTTATTTTTTTTTCCTGAATTAGAATATCAGAGCTGATAAATTCCAAAATCTAGTTGATACACTTAATATGGCATCTTGATATTTATGCATGAATAGACATTATAGTGTGTTCTATTGGATAATTTGTTATAAGTTGTTACAGAAGGATGGGGACAGTTGCAAGTTTGAGACCTGCCCAGTTAAGAGATGATGCATTGTATGTAACTGATGGTGAAAGGAAAAAAGGAGAGACATGGGTACTGAAACAAGAAATAAATGTTTAAGTGGCTGGAGGGGAAGTGTTTTGCTAAACAATGACTGCAATCCAAGTTACTTTGTACTCAAATCCCCAGTGAGGGAGTATCAATTACATATCAGGCCTGGCGTGGCAAATAGACAAGCTGGCAACATGAACCTCTAATGTATTTAACAGGAAAGTTCTACAACAGGTTATATTAGTATCAGAACAAACAATGATTGTTCTTTTTCAGTTTCAGAGCTATCTATTCTGTACCAATAAGATTCGCTCAATGAACATCAAGGAAAAAAAAATTTAAAAGAAACATTGTTCATAAGTACTGCTGGAGTATTAAAAATCATTATATTCTGCCAAAAAGAAAGAGGTGAAGGTAACACCTGGCCAAAGTTTGTTGAGTAGCGGGGAGATAACGCCACCTCGTGTAGTTTACTTGCTAGTCCTGAAAGAAATGTGGATTCAGCTGAGAAATGTTCTTCCAAAGTCTTGAAAGCTGTGACTGTACCATGGCATGACATGAGTCAGAAACACTGCAATTCAAATCAATAATACTGTGGCACAACACAAGCACATGAAACAGTTCTCTGCATGAATTGATCTTTGTTGTGGCATGATCTACTTGTATTGACATAAAAATGCTTTATAAGCAGTTATCTGAACTGAGAAGAATGCATATTTGCTGAAGGTTTAATTATGTTTCAAGTTTGAGTTCCAGTTACTAAAGCCATTCGAAGGAGCACTTTCTTCTGATCATTGCACACACGAGTGATAGCAACAAGCCAGCACTGACACAGCAAAATATTACTAATAATACATGATTTTCTGCTCTTAAAATCAAAAGAGGTTGATCATACTTAACCTCTATCACAGCTTCTGTTCTGTATGGATAAACTTTATCCTGAAGAACAATCTGTTTAAAAAAAAAATCCTCTACCCCAAAAAGGAATAGCAGCAATAATGGACAAGTCTGGGATGGAACAGCCAGTCTCACGAATTTCGGGATAGAGAGATGAAATAATACTAAAATAAAACACAATGTAAAACTGTTTGTTCATACAGCTTATGAAAGTCTTTACATTCAACCTATAAAAGAGAAATACCTCAACAATCCTGTTGCACTTCTTTCTCCAGAGGTAATTATGGCACGTCTATTAGTGTCTTTCTTTTCTCATTGCACTCTAAAGCTGAGCAATGAAGTGTAACTGCACAGAAATCCCCCTTCAATATAAAGTTGATGCAAGATGATAGATGAATGCCTTTATTCAGAGATGTGCAATCTTCTGGTAGTGTGGGACAACTGTATCCTCAGTCGAGGTTTTCAGAGCCCACAGGCGCCTCCTCTTCTTGTTTGTTTTTGTGTTTTTCTTCTTCTCAATTTTATTTTGGGATTGGAGTAAAACTGCCTCAAATCCCAGCTGTCAAATCTGTAATCACTTGCCCTTTCACCAATTTCCTAAGGAACTCTTTCTCTTTTCCAATATTATGAGTCCATGACTGAAATGAAATTAATAGAAAACATCAATAGTTAATATTTTAGGGGAGCTAACACAGATTTATGATATGTTTCTTATTGTTTATGGTGACATTTTCATAAACATATAAATATGAAAGTAAAACTGCAACCTAAAGCCCAGCTCAACCCTAACTGAATGACTTAAAAAATTAAACTATTTTTTAAAACTGTTAATGAACAGACTTCTAAAATAAAATGCTTTGAGGTAAATTTAGCTGGGATTTTATTACATTTAATCTAAGAAGTGTTAAACAGTGAATAATTTAGAGAATCTATGGCATAGTGGTAATGTCAATAAACTAATAATCCAGAGTCAAAACCAGAAATTGCTGGAAAAACTGAACAGATCTGTTAGCATCTGTGCACAGAAATCAGAGTTAATGTTTTAGATCTAGTGTTCCTGCTTCAGAATTGATTGCAGCTGGTAAAATATTGGTATATATGCTGCAGATACTGTGGGGGATGGAGTAAACAACAGGTGGAAATGGAGACCAGAGAGAGAGAGCAACAGTTGGACGAACAAAGAAAAGGGTAATGGTCAGCCTGGGAAGATCAAAAGCAGCTAATGGGGGCCATTAGTAGCTGACAATGGGTTGGTTGTAGTAGCAGCCCATGTGATGACCAGGTGTGTATGGGGTTTGGGTTAAGGACATGGAAGAATGTGCTCAGGCCCTAAAATTATTGAACTTGATACTGAGTCCTGAAGGTTGCAGGGTCCCTAAGTGGAAAATGTCCTTCCAACTTCTCTAAGCTTCTGGTTGACTGTCACTTCAACACACCACTGTGTTCCCTAGCCAACATCATTGTCTTGAGTTTGCTGCAGTTTTTGGGGACCCTGCAGCCTTCAGGACTCAATATTATGTTCAATAATTCATGGCCTGATCACCTTCTTCCATGTCCTTACATAAACTCACACACACCAGGCCTTGTCATCAGATGAGCTGCTACAACATCCAACCCAGTGTCAGCTACTAACGGCCCCGATTAGCAGCTTTAATTCTCCCAGGTTGACATTTATCCATTCTGTTCTCTGTCCAATTGTTGTTCTCTTGCTCTGAACTCTATCTCCACCTATTGCATACTCCTCTCCCTTACCCCGTCCCTGCCTTCAGCATAGAAACCAGCCTTTTCCTAGCTACAATCAGTACTGAGGAAGGGTCACTGGAACCAAAAGTTAAGTTTGCTTTTTCCTCACAGGTGTTGTCAGATCTGCTGAGTTTCTCCAGCAATTTCTGTTTTTATTTCGTATTTCCAGCATTTTCAATTGTTTGGTTTTATTGTTTAGTAATCCATAGTCCTTCAATAATGTTGTAGGGACACGGGTTTGAATCCCACCATCAGAGATAGTGCAATTTGAATTCAATCAAATCTGTGAGTAACTGCTGGTCTAATGATGACCATATAACCAATGTCAATTGTTGTAAAAATCCATCTGGTTGACTAATCTTCTTTAGAAGGAAATTCGCTGTTCTTACCTGTTTTGGCCAGGATTCAGAGCAACTAAGCCACTCAGATAAAGGGCAATAAAGGGTTAGCAACAAATGCTGGCCTAGTCAGCAACCCATGAACAAATTCTTTTAGAAACTGTGCAAATCACATACAAAAATTACATCTTTGCATAGGATTCCCAGAAATTCTAAATATTTTAAAATTACCTACCTATGCTGTGCTCTTCCCTTATTTCCACCAGTTGTTTGACTTACATTATAACCCAAAACAACAACTTACATTTATGCAGCGCCTTTAACAGTAAAAGGTTAGTCACATAGTGCTTCATAGGAACAATGATCAAATAAAATTTCACACTGAGTCACACAAGCAGCTGTGATAGGAGACAGATAAAAGCTTGATCAAGAGGTTTTAAGGGGAATTTCAAAGGGTGGCAGGAGATGTGGAAAGGTTTAGGCAGGAAATTCCTTAAGTATTGGGCTTGGAGAACATAGCCACCTGTGGGGTTGCAATTAAAATCAGTGTTGTACTAGAGTTTAGAATTGGAGGAGTGCAAAAATTGCTAGATTGTAGTGCTGTTACAGAGAGCAGAAGATGAGGTCATGGAGGAATCTGAAAATAATGAGAATTTTAAAATTGCGAAGTTGCTGGATAAGGAATCAATATAGGTTAGAGGTGATGGGTAAACAGGACTTGGTGTCAGTTAGGATGTCAACAGTAGAGTTTGAATGGTCTCAAGTTTATTATAGAATGGATGCCAGCCCACAATGCGTTAGAATAAAAGGAACAAAGGCAGGACGAGAGTTTCAGCTGCAGACCAGCTCAGGCGATGATGATGTCATGGATGGAAATAGGTGTTGTGTTTGGAGGATATTACTCATGATTCCAAACCAAGCTATTAAGAAATCCATAAAGGACAGCCTCTGATTTCCTGGAAGAAAATACAGACTGGTAATAATCAAGGTGTAGTGACCTCGATGGTGGCGGAATGTTCTGCTGAAGTTTAATGTTATAGGCTTCCTATTGCCAGCTCATCTCAATAATAATTAGGGCACATATCCGTTAAGCTATAATGAGGAAAATGGAAAGAATCCTTGGGGAAAACTATTCCTCAAATCCAGATGCCACCAATCAGCCAAGCTGGCTGGACAATCAAAGCTATCCTATAATATAGTGTATATGCCTGCTTCAGGAAGGTGGATTATCAAATCTTAATAAGATAACTAATAATCCAATCTTTTATCACAAGTCATGTCATTTTCAAACCAAATAAACCTAAAGAAACCCACTTTTCTGCCCAACCCAATGCAACAAACAATTATCACTCAAATTTTTGACTCGGGAAACAAGAAGATTGGAAGCAACATAAAAATATTAGTTCAATACTTTGAATTTGCAGGTCTGGGGGTCCTTGATTTTTGAATGTCTGAATTATAAATGCTCATACTTACGAACGTGATCACATACAGGAGTGTAACTTTAAGTATCTGACACATGAACATTTCCTGCCCTTAGAATGGCTGCTTTATTTGTCTGCATTGTGGTCCGACTTCCATACAAATTGAATTATGAATAGACTCAGGATGGAACCTGTTTGCAACCTGGACACTAATTTTACTTGTAATCTTACTCTGGTTTCAGCTACAGAATAGGCCTTGTTCTGTGTTGCCTTAACGTCTTTGAACAATGCACTGTCAAAATAGGTTGATCCAGAAAAGCAAGATCCATATGCAAATAAAAAAGTGTGCAAGAGAAGATAAGGAAATTTTAATTTTGGGAAATAGATAGCTAGGGTCCAAATGAGATGTAATGATTTTTTTAAAATCACAAACCTAACCTGTTCACTTTCAGGTTTAAGAGACTGAGACAGGGAGAGGCAAATCAACTAATTCGAGGGAAATGAGTTGGTAATTTAAACATTCTAAGTTTCACATTCAACTTGCCTTACAGATTTAACCCTTGCAGTTGTGTTTTCTATGCCTTGGGAAAACCAACAACTCAAAATGAGATTGGTTTTAGGAAAAGGGGTGCACCCTTCTAGCACTGCTGTGGACCAGACAAAGTAGCAGAACTTGTCCAGCACCAAGCTTACTTGAGCTCCTGCAATTAGATTACCCTGCTGGACCCTCCATCTAACCCCCTTCTCTGATTATAGATCAATCTCCCACTTCTTGGATCAGATCTCCTTCTCCAACCAGAATCAAGCCCCTATTAGCAACATAAGTCTTATTAGTTGAGGCTGCGGCCTGCTTCATAGTGATCTCCACCTAACTGGAAGTCAAATCTATGAATCATTCCGATTTCCAGTGGAGGAACCTGTCAGAAAGATTATACATTGTATGAAGTTATTCGTTCATAAATCATTCAAGTTAAAACTCCACAATATGCAAGGCATTATCAGAAACGTATACCTGCTATCATGTTCAGAAAACCTACCCAGCAATATTGGGGAAAAGTGAACAATTGACAGTGAAGACAAATTCTCCATAAAGAATAAAAACTGAAAATGCTATAAATATGAATGCCTAGCAAGTCAGGCTGCATTGTGGAGAGGAAAAGAGCAATTGTTTCCGTTTCGAGATCCTTTCAACTAAACTGACGAAAGGTCATGGGCGTTAACTGTTTTACTCTCTCTCTCTTTCCCAACAAATTTAAGAATTTCCACCATTTTCTGCTTTTATTTCAGATTTCCAGCATTCACCATATTTTGCTTTTGCATATACTCTACAGCGATACAACTGGACAGCAAGATCAATTTCAACTGGTTGAGAATGATAAGCCACAAAACAGCCAATGAAAATATTATATGCTCTATTATCTCATCAATGCAAAAAATAGATACTTTTAGTAGGCTTGTACAAAGAACACCATAAAGAAGTACAAAATGTGGTATATCAAAAAGTAGACACAAGGTAAGCAATGAAAATTGTAATATAGAAAATGAGAGTCAGAAAATGGCAGGAAAGGGCAGAGAGAAAGAAAGACCCAATCAACCTAAAATCAACAATCAAGATTAGATTCTATAAAGATTAAAAACAAGACAATGCTAAAACCTCTATATCTGAATGTGTATAGGATTCATAAAAGTAAAAAAATTGGGAGCACGCATTGAAATAAATCAAAACAATCTGATAGCCATTTGTGATATATATCTTCAGGTTGACAAGGATTGTGTCCTGAATATTGAGGGGTACATGACATTGAAGAAAAATAGTAAGCTAGGGAATGATGGAGGGGTGGAACTGTTAATCAAGTGGAAATCAACCTACAGGCCTCTAACAGTAACCACAATGTGGGACAAAGTATATAAGAATAAATTCACCTGGACCATCTCTGATACCTCTCTCTCCTTCCTGGACCTTTCTGTTTCCATCTCTGGCAACCACCTGGAAACCGATATTCATTTCAAACCCACCGACTCCCACAGCTGCCTAAAATACACCTCCTCCCACCCACCTTCCGGCAAAAATGTGATCCCCTATTCCCTATTCCCAATTCCTTCGTCTCCGCCGCATCTGCTTCCAGGATGAGG